CTCACAAGGCCAAGCAGGAGGCAGACGGTCTAGGCGGAGGTTGGCGATGAAGGCAGGACCTCTCCAGAGGCAGAGCAGGGAGCCGACGTCAAAGCTTTGGCTCTCTGGACCGATGGCCGGTGGCAAAGCAGCTGAACGGGAACCAGAGACAGTGCTATAGGGCTGAGGATCAGCAGCGGGCTGTGGGACCAATGAACTAGACGTGAAGTAGGGATCGGTCGGGCCACCAACTTGACACGTGGAGCAGAAGTCGGCGTTTCATAGCGAAGTAGGCAAGGAGAGTCATTGTCCCAGTATCCTCGCTGGGTCCATGCTGTTCCTGTTATGGGAGAGTGCAGGTCAGCTGCCTCCACACATCCCCAGGGCAGCTCTGCACAGCCCCGACCCCAAGCCTGGTGCCTTCCCGCAAGGGAGCAGGCCCGGTATGTTTTTTTCCGGGCCAATTCCTGATTATTCTTAAGCAATTAGACAGATGACCTATATTTGGAATACATTTGCTGTGAAAGTTTTAATCTTTGTGTCAAAATTTAGAATAACACAAACTCCAACACAAAACTTTAATTTAAACGTTTAATATTTATAAATACTAAATTAAATGAATTAGAGATCCACCCCAGAGATGGACTTGATAAAGGGGATCTATTATGCTTTTTCATATTTTCTAGTATTAGGTATGATGTCATTCTGAGCCAGATTTCCAAATATGGTCATTTGCTCCAGGCAGAGAATGCTGGCCACGCCCCCAAAAGGAACATACAGACCTATCCCTGCAGCAACCTGGTAAACACAGACAATAGCCAGTTAGAAGACAGTGGGCTATGGAGTGGGGGGGGGTCTCAAAGAAACGAAGCATAAACAGCTTTTTACAGACAGATGCTGAAATGAGGGCCAACATGAAGAGCCAGTATAAGATAGAAAATACATTTTTGAACTTTGAATCATGCAAAAGTGCCATACAGGAGTCACAGAACTACAGTATAGGGCTGGAAATGCAGCATAATAGGTCCGCTTTAACCATGAGTGATAAATTATCATAAACTTTGTCTTTACCTACTGCCATTTATATTGTATTTATTTTATATTAGGGTTTTATTGATACATTTATTAACACTATTTATTTGTTCTGTTCTTTATCTATAATCTTATTGGTTTTTCATTACTAAATAATTGCCTTTTAAAAACGTTATTGAAAAAAAATAAATTGAGAACAGTAATCAAATTTGTGTTTTCAGAGCAGCAACAAAAGTAAAGTTTACAGCAGCAAAGTCACTTTATAAAATCAATATCTCACTGGAAACAAATGGAACATGTAAAATAAACTATATTCCTGACATCAAAATACTGAGTAAAGTTTAGAAAGAAGACATCACTCAGTCAGTTGTTACTTCTCCTCCTCTCTCTGCTGCTGGTAGAGAGGAGCTGGTTTCTCTCAACAAGCAGCTGGCAAGGTAGTTTCCTATATTGGGTGATACTTAAATTTTTGGCCTTGGTGATGCATAGGGCAGTGATGGGCAAACTGGGACGGGGTACCTTAGCCAAATTGATAGCTCTTCACATATCTTCTGCCAGAACTTTTGGACAGGTGCACATTGCCACATAGCATGCATGTAACTATCAGATGTTACCTGAGCAGTTTAGGCAAATGTTTGACTGCATGAGACCCATTCTGAACATCCTTTGTCCTGTATAGTGTGTTCTAAGGAGTGTGTTCTATTTTATACTGTATGAGTTGTAAATTTGTTTTTTTGTTTTTCATTCTAAAATTGTTTAAACATAACTGCGTCCTGTAGTGTGGTCTGGACAATGAATAGATGTGTTTCTCACTTAAAAAAAGGAGAGAGATTGAACCATCTGTTTTCAACAGTAACAAAAGGCAAAGTCCAAACCAAGGCAGCATTCCAAGAAACGTAACTAAATCCATAACATGTAACAGTCGGTTACATGGTGCAACAGAGCAGGATAATCCAAAGAACACAGAAACAGGCAGAACACTCAACTTACAACGAGAGCACAACAAAGACAGAACAGAACGGAGGACTTAAATAATAGGGCAAACAAGCTGGGAGGGAGTGCACAGATGAAAGACATGAGGGGCTAATTAGGCAGAACCATAGACAGTATATTACTGGACGAAACCACCCCGCAGATTTGAATGGAGAGCAGTGAGGCCAGTTTTGGACCAATAAAATACTACTAAAGGGCTACTTCCTGTCCGCACCAGTATCTGCTGTGCATGATGGCGCAGCAAAACCGTGGTTTAATGACGTAAAGGAACAGCAGAAACACTGTAATTCTAGTAGCTGCATAGCTGCGCCAAGAGTGTTTGTCTGACTCACATCGTCAGTGTTTAATCAGCCCACCTACGAGGCTCACCTGCCAAACATCAACGAAGCGTCACTGATGGCTGAAGAGTTTTTTTAGATTCACAGAGAGTTGAAAATCTAATCAATACGGTTACATCTCTCATGTGCGACGGGGTGTCACAGGGTTTTGACGTCATTTTTGGGCCTACATGGATCCCTCCATGCAGGCTTTGGTCGGCTTCACTGTCCGATCTCTGGCTTACCCCCTTTGGCAGAACAGACACACAGGCAGGCAGAGTGGGAAACAGGATGGTAAGACAGACTGAACAGACCTGTGGCCTGTACTACAAAGTGAGGCAACTGGCTTATGCAGGTAACTTCAGGAGTAACTTTGTGATGTCGGGTGCAACGAGCCCTGCAGCCTCGGTGAGAAGATCTTAATTTAATACTGTAGGTAACGGGCCGGTTTCTGAGATGTAGCCCATCTGTAGGCTATAAATGAATTATGTGTTTTCACATATTTAAATTTACTATTTTATGTCCAAAACATATGGAGCCAGGGGTGAGGGTTAAAAAACCGAGAAGAAAATTACAATTGAAAGTGACAAATTTACAAAATCTGAAATTCCCTTAAATTAAAAGTGCAAAAAATCCAAATCACTCTGGTGTTTTATTCTGAATACGCCCAATTCATGGCAAAGTCTCTGAGATACATGATGAAATAGGCTGGTGATTATGGGCTAAACGAGGATTTCCTCACTGCTAAATCCGATTGCAAAGTCTAATATAACTTTCCACCGCATGCCTAATGCATGGCAGAGGTGTGTGTGATGCTGCAGCCTTGCAAAGTGAATTTTCTCTCATAAATGTGTGACTGTAATGTCAGAGAATATACAGAAAAGTTTTTTACTTGTAGCTTAACATTGGAAAAAAAAATTTTTTCTCAGATTATTACCCCTCTCCGCTGGCTCCATTAGTTTTTTTGTTTTTTGTTTTCTTTTAAACCTGTCCTGCCCAGCAGCCTGGTATAGAGTATGATGAGCTGGATACCATATTGTGCCAGACAGATCTGACCAACGATTTGACTTTAACAAGAGAGTATTAATATACTCCTTTGTCTGTTTTATTATTTATTTAATTATGTATTGATTTGTCACCGGGCCGGACAGGGGGGCAGACACGGGGATGGGGGGGCACAAACAGACAGCACAGAGAAAGGACAAGACCTGTAAGAGAAGGGGGATGGATGGTGGGGACAACAAGGAAAAGCTGTGGGAAACACCAATTGCAGAAAGCAACGAAACCTGTAATAGAACAGAGAGGGGGGCTTGGGGAGGAGAAAACAACAACAAACAAAAACAAACAATAAAAATAATAATAATAGTAAAAGACAACGAGCCGAACGGCAGCAATAAACAGCTGACATAGTAAGACAACTAAGAGAAAAATTAAAACAAGAAACAGTCCAGCACACTAAATAAGCAACACAGCACAGCCACGAGAGCTGGAAAAATAATTAATTTAAATAAGTAACGTGTGGGTGAATGTGTCTGTATGTGTGTGGGTACATGTGTGTCCGCATAAGCCTGTTAAAGAATGTAGTTGCTAGTGAGAGTGGGATGCCACGACTGGGCCACACTTACCCCAGCAACAGGCAGGCAAGAACCCCAGTAGCCAATAGGGGTGGGAGAAAGAAAAATATAATCAAAATCAAAAAACAAAGACTCCCAGATGCACCGCGATGCAAACGCGAAAGACCCCGACCCAACCAACAGATGCCCCAAAATAAATAAATAAAAACGACCATCCAAATGCCAATTGACAATGCAGTGCCGACAGAATGCAAGAGGCGTAACCCGCAGAAGAGGCTCCATTTGTTTTTATTACAATGGGCCTTATGTGCAGTTGTACCTTTACATCTTAATCATATTACAGATAAAATCTCTCAATGGAATTCTTAAAATAAAGGTTAAAAACAAACAAACAAAAAAAACAATTAAAAAAAAATAAATAAAAAAGAAGAGTCCATAAAATACATAATAAAGAATTAGCCCACAACAAGAACACGTGAAGATAATTACAAATTTCCTCAATGGATGCCAACAAGCCAAAAACTCCAGGTGCAGATATGTTACTTAAAACCACAAAAATATTGCTTTACCTGTTATCAGGGTTAATGCTAATAAATAACTAATCTAGGTCACTCTACAATTCAATTCAATTCAATTTTATTTATATAGCGCCAAATCACATTACATTGACAACAGTTACAACTACATCCTAATAAGCTACCATATTACAAAACACGTGAGTAAAAATGTATATTCACTTCCTAAATTAATAAAAAGCGTTTTATCTGCCATGTTTCTGTGTAGTAGGACTTCAACCTGGCAAGTCGTGTACCAAAATTCTCACTGATTTTCCGAGTTGTTGTTTGCCTTCAGGCAATAAGTGAATTCTCGGGATTAGTCGGGATTATTTTGACATCATATGAATGGTAATTATACATCAAAATATTTTCAAATTCAAACCAATAGGAATAAAAGTTTTGGAACTCACTATCACCATAGTCTACAATTCCTGCTGCAACTCACAGATTAAAAACTAATAGGTATAATTTATATTTTGTATAGGCTTGGCACTTCTTTTTCCCTCTTCACAACTTTTGGCTAATTTGACTTTTCCTTACCCCCTCAGCCTCGTCTTTCATGCAATTGGATGATGAGAACCAGTGCCTTAAGGCAGCACAGGACTGTGGCCTGTACGAGAAGTGTGGTTCTCTGCGATCAGAGTATGTCCTGGCCTGCACTAAGATGGTACCCGGGACCAACCGATGCAACCAGCACAAGTGCCACCGAGCCCTGCGCCGCTTCCTAGAGCGGGTGCCTGAGGAGTACAGCCTGGGTGTTCTGTTCTGCCCTTGCACCACCACCCTGTGTGGTGAGAGGAGGAGGAAAACCATCGTACCCTCCTGCTCCTACCAGGAGATGGAGGGTCTGCAACCTAACTGCCTCCACCAGCAAAGCTTCTGCCGTCGAGATGACCTCTGCAGGTTAGACATGAAACTCAGATATTGATACTGTTAGCTAATTATCAAATGTAAAATGGCTAGAAACTGGCATTATATGGGGCAGTTTGATTACATATTTATTGTAGAATTGATAGCAATGTTAAGTGGCATAGCTTGTACAGGTGCAGGTCATATAATTAGAATATCATCAAAAAGTTGATTTATTTCAGTAATTCCATTCAAAAAGTGAAATATGGATATTATATTCATTCACTACACACAGACTGATATATTTCAAATGTTTATTTCATTTAATTGTGATGATTAAAACTGACAACTAATGAAAATCCCGAATTTCAGTATCTCCGAAAATTAGAATATTACTTAAGACCAATACAAAAAAAAGGATTTTTAGAAATGTTGGCCAACTGAAAAGTATGAACATGAAAAGTATGAGCATGTACAGCACTCAATACTTAGTTGGGGCTCCTTTTGGCTGAATTACTGCAGCAATGCGGCGTGGCATGGAGTCGATCAGTCTGTGGCACTGCTCAGGTGTTATGAGAGCCCAGGTTGCTCTGATAGTGGCCTTCAGCTCTTCCGCATTGTTGGGTCTGGCGTATCGCATTTTCCGCTTCACAATAGCCCATAGATTTTCTATAGGGTTAAGGTCAGGCGAGTTTGCTGGCCAATTAAGAAGAGGGATACCATGGTCCTTAAACCAGGTACTGGTAGCTTTGGCACTGTGTGCAGGTGCCAAGTCCTGTTGGAAAATGAAATCTGCATCTCCATAAAGTTGGTCAGCAGCAGGAAGCATGAAGTGCTCTAAAACTTCCTGGTGGACGGCTGCGCTGACCTTGGACCTCAGAAAACACAGTGGACCAACGCCAGCAGATGACATGGCACCCCAAACCATCACTGACTGTGGAAACTTTACACTGGACTTCAAGCAACGTGGATTCTGTGCCTCTCCTCTCTTCCTCCAGACTCTGGGACCTTGATTTCCAAAGGAAATGCAAAATTTACTTTCATCAGAGAACATAACTTTGGACCACTCAGCAGCAGTCCAGTCCTTTTTGTCTTTAGCCCAGGCGAGACGCTTCTGACGCTGTGTCTTGTTCAAGAGTGTCTTGACACAAGGAATGCGACAGCTGAAACCCATGTCTTGCATACGTCTGTGCGTGGTGGTTCTTGAAGCACTGACTCCAGCTACAGTCCACTCTTTGTGAATCTCCCCCCCATTTTTGAATGGGTTTTGTTTCACAATCCTCTCCAGGGTGCGGTTATCCCTATTGCTTGTACACTTTTTTCTACCACATCTTTTCCTTCCCTTCGCCTCTCTATTAATGTGCTTGGACACAGAGCTCTGTGAACAGCCAGCCTCTTTAGCAATGACCTTTTGTGTCTTGCCCTCCTTGTGCAAAATGTCAATGGTCGTCTTTTGGACAGCTGTCAAGTCAGCGGTCTTCCCCATGATTGTGTAGCCTACAGAACTAGACTGAGAGACCATTTAAAGGCCTTTGCAGGTGTTTTGAGTTAATTAGCTGATTAGAGTGTGGCACCAGGTGTCTTCAATATTGAACATTTTCACAATATTCTAATTTTCTCTAATTTTTCATTAGTTGTCAGTTATAATCATCAAAATTAAAAGGAATGAACACTTGAAATATATCAGTCTGTGTGGAATAAATTTATACATTATACAAGTTTCACTTTTTGAATGGAATTACTGAAATAAATCAACTTTTTGATGATATTCTAATTATATGACCAGCACCTGTATACAGGACAGTATGTGTCTATATTTATAAAAACAAAATTGTGTTGACTTGAAAAATATTTGGACTAATGTGGTGCTGGCTAAAAATGTGTATCATCAGTGGCCAAATGATTACCCACAGTGTTTCCTAATCGTAATTATAATAATAATAATCCTTATTTGTAGAGCACTTTTCAAAAACAAGTTACAAAGTGCTTTAACAAGTGTAAAGAATAATACAAAAAACAAGATAAGAGTAATTAACACACACACAATAAAAGCTCGGGTCCTCTACCAGAGGCCTGGGAGTTTGAGGGTTCTGCGCAGTATCTTAGCTGTTCCTAGGACTGCACTCTTCTGGACAGAGACCTCTGATGTTTTACCTGGAATCTGCTGTAGCCACTCTCCCAGTTTGGGGGTCACAGCCCCCAACGCTCCGATTACCACTGGCACCACCATTGCTCTTACTTTCCACATATTTTCTAGCTCCTCTTTCAGCCCTTGGTATTTCTCAAGCTTCTCGTGCTCCTTCTTCTTGATGCTGTTATCGCTTGGGATTTCCACATCTATCACCGCAGCCTTCTTCTGCTGTTTGTCGATCAACACGATGTCTGGTTGGTTAGCCATCACCACTTTGTCAGTCTGGATCTTGAAGTCCCACAGGATCTTGGCTCAGTCATTCTCAACTACCTTAGGAGGTGTCTTCCATTTTGACCTTGAGACTTCCAGACCATACTCATGGCAGATGTTCCTGTACACAATGACAGCTACCTGGTTACGGCGTTCCATGTATGCACTTCCTGCCTGCATCTTACACACTGCTGTTATGTACTGTACAGTCTCAGTGGCATCCTTGCACAGTGTGCACCTGGGGTCCTGCCTGGTGTGGTAGACCCCAGCCTCTATTGATCTTGTACTGAGTGCCTGTTCTTAGTGCTTCTGTGCTGTCCTTCAGTCCATCCTTTTCCAGCTACTGGTAGGATTTCTTGATATCAGCCACTTCTTCTATTTGTCTGTGTGAAACCCGAGGGTGAGGACAAGGAAGATGAAGAAGATATATATATATATAATTAGTCCCTGTTCCTAAATCCAGTTGTCCTACCATGCTAAATGATTTTAGGCCCGTTGCTCTGACCTCCATTTTAATGAAAATCTTTGAGAAACTGCTCAGGTCAGGGATTTTGAGGCACACTGAACATGCACTGGATCCTTTGCAGTTTGCATAGATTTCGCAGAGGAGTGGTGGATGCTTAACATGCTTTTTAGACATCTGGACGGTAACAGGAATCATGCCAGACTTTTATTTGCTTGCTTTTAACATGATCCAACCCCATATTGTAACCAGAAGGATCCTTTTAACTAACAGGACAGAGAGAGTGTGGGTAGATTGTATTTTGTCTGACCGGAAGTGTAGTTCCACAGATTCCCCACCAGGGTGTATGTGGTCATCTTTGTTATTCATTCATTATAAAATATGTGTCAGAGCAGAAATGATAACAGAAGTATTGTAAAGTATGCAGATGACTCTGTTGTTGTAAGTCTGATTCATGATACCAGCCACGGTCCTGTCGTTGATCAGTTTGGACACTGGTGAAGGACTCAAACCTCACGAAACATGATTAAAACTAAAGACATGCTCAACGATTTTAGTTGGAAAACTCACATGAGCGAAGACACTTTATTTAACTGTCAGACCATCGAGTATGTGAAATCTTATAAATACCAGGGAACCATCATTGATGCAAATTTGAAGCCAACTGTGAAGCTGTGTGCGAAAAGGGTCAACAGCGCTTTTAATGTTTAAGGAAACTCTCATACTTTCATATTGACCATGTTTTATTGTGCTTTTATGGAGTCAATCCTGTCCTTTCCTTGATGTCATGGTCTTGCCACACATCGTTAAAAGAGAGAAATTCCTTAAACCAAAGAGTTATATAGTCCGGTCGGCTGAACTCTTTGTATATCTCACTATCTCACTCTGTGTCCACCAAAATGTCACTATTTTAAATGCTGGTGTTACTGGGCCTTTTTGATGATGTAATCTGATGATATATGATAATATGATTTATTTACTTAAATATAGTAATCCTCTTTTTTTGCTATGAAGGTTTAATTGATGTTTTTTAGGTTTTACACTTGAAATGTTTAATGTATAGAGGAAATAGTGATACTTGATACAAATTTAAGGATATTTAACATTTAACACCTGGTACAAAAGAAAAATCAAGTATCAAGAAAAAAGTAATAATGAGAGGAAAGACAAAAGGCAACATTTACAAGTAGTAAAATGTGTTAATACTATATTTTTTAAAAACATTGGTATGGGACTTAAAACCCTAACATATATTTCCAGATATTCTGCCCACTTCTTGTGTTTGATGTTGAGCTGTTGTTTGTGTTGTTGCCAGGTCCAGACTGGCTGATTTCCTTAATAACTGCCAGCCATCTCCTCAGACGGCCAGCGGTTGTCTGAAAGATTCTGCAGGCCTGTGCCTCCGAGCCTACACTGGACTCATCGGTATGGGCTTCAGGGGCAAGTGGGGGGACATTTTGAAAATCCTAATACAGAGTTTCCTGAAATTTTGGAGATAGAGTCTTTGGCCATTTGAACTATGGATTATATATTTTACTTCATGCTGTCAAATACCGATCAATAAATAGGTGTATGAAAATTATATCTTTCATGCATCAACAAATTGTCAAATTAGCAAGTCTAGACTAATACGTCTTATGTCTTCGCTACTTAGCTATCAACTCCTAATTGTCTTACTGTGTAAAATAATGTAGCTGAGTTATAACATTAATGAGAGTTGAGGTGTGGATCACAGTAAATACTGCAAATATCTGACAGAACATAACTGAAAAGGATTAACGGTTCTTGAAATTTTTCATGTCAAAAGTTATTGGTGTTTTTTCAACTTATGGAAAATTGGGCTAAGAAAAAAACTTAACTTTTAAAAAAAGCAGTAAATTGAAGATTTCTGAGAATCTTTTTTTATAAGAACCTTGAATATGAAATACTAAAGTATTTTTTGGTGGACAAGCGATATCAAAATGGCCATTGAAACTACTGAAATCCTCGTCATCAGCCCTAACACCCTCACCAGCTCCACCCTGACCTTTTTACTCAACATCGATGGCTCCATTGTCACCCCCTCCACCCAGGATTTCAATCTTGGAATCATCTTTGACCCCAGCCTCTCCTTCCTGCCCCATCTCAACCCAGTCACAGAAACTTCCACCTAAAGAACATCGCCCGCCTCTGACCCTCCTTGACTTTTACTGCTGCAGAAATACTCATACATGCCCTCATTACTTCCAGACTACTGTAACAGCATCCTCTACAGTTCACCTAACAAAATCTTCAATAAACTTCAATACGTCCAGAACTCTGCTGCCAGCATGCTCAATTCGACCCGTTGCAGAGATCAGATCACCCCCATCCTTCACAGCCTCCACTGGCTCCTGGTTAAATACAGGATCCACTTTAAACTTCTACTCATCACCTACAAAGCCTTAAACAACCTGGCCCCTCTCTACCTTTCTGACCTCTTCCCCTGCCACACCTCCACATGTTGCCTCAGGTCTGCGAAGGCAGCAACTTTAAAAACCATCTGGACAAAGCGACGGTCCTGAAGTGACAGGGTCTTTTCCCTTGCACCACCCTCCCTCTGGAACACCCTCCCTAGCCACATCCGACAGCCTAACTCCATGCCATCTTTCTAACAGGCCCTGAAAACCCACCTTTTCAAGATTGCATTCCTTAGTTAACTTCCTTCCCCTCTCTCCTCCTCTATTTTTTTTACCAATTACTTTGATCTTATCCCCCCACAAACCCCGTTTGCGTAATTACAAAAGTACTATTATTATTAGTAGTAGTAGTAAGAATAAGAATAAGAATAATTAAATTTTATTTAATTTAATTAAAATTATTAGTCTGGGATTTTATTTGTTTCAATCACTAAACTCATACATCCCAAAAACTCTATTAAAACCATTTGACACCTGCATTTATTTGTCAAAACGTGTAGCCATGCCTGGCCAGTAATCAACTTCTCTCCAACTAGCTGCTCAGTATGTTAAAAAAGTTAGGTATATGATATTTAACAGAAAAAACTGAATAAGGAGGTGGTTGGGGTGAATGGAGGGCCAGAACCCGGACTTTGAACCAGAAAAGGGTGTTTGTGCCTCGTGTGAAGCAAAAATTTAATATGTTTATTTAAGGCAAGTTACATAAATTCCATAAGTTACACAAGTAACATTTGTTAACTTATGTGTTAACTGACATACATAGTTATTTTAACCCAAACCATGATCTTTTCCTAACCTTAACCTAAACAAACTGCAACTTCACTTTCAACTTTAATAACGTGCAGTTTCAAAATGGCGATGTTTCGAAATGCTAGCATTTTATTTTGAAAGTCTAACCGGACGTTACATGAAGCCTGAAGAGTCAAAAAATGACGCTAAAGGGTTACACAGGGCGTTAATAAATGACGCCAAAGGGCCTTGACCAAGCGACAATATGTGACGATTCGGGAGTGAGAATGTGTTGTTCTGTTTACTTTTGTTTCTGATGGCAGAGGCACCTTAGCCTCTCTCCATCAGTGTATGAAGGCACGTAAAAGTGGTGAATGTAATGTAGTGTAAAACGCTTTGAGTCTAGACTAGAAAGGTGCTTTATATGTACAGACCATTTATTTTCCCCAGCTTCCTTTCTTTATACTAAGCTAGGCCAATCGTCTTCCAGTCCAAGCTTCAAAATGAATGAAGTATTGATTTTCACTATTTCTTCTAGGAAAGAAAATCAAACAGTTGAACTGACTTAAAAGTGGTATTGTTTTGTGTGTCGCACTCAGCTATGGTGTTTGCTATTTCAGCATATTGTCAACATTTGGTATGTTTGGCTCTAAAAATGGCGAAGATGGCATTATGAAGAAAAACACCAACTCCAGACTTCAAAATGTCCCTTCAGCTCTCTTAGGAAATGTCACAGGATCTACATCACGTTTTTCTACAGGCTATGCTTCGGCTTTCTTTGAAGTTAAAGAACAGTATCCTCTCTCTGTTTCGTGCCATAATACAATTTAACTGATTTTCTCACAAATCAAAGTGAAATGCAGTGTAGAAACCAGTAGATGCTTCCAGTCTTTTTGACCATGGCCTAATTTGTTTCTAACAATTGTGTTTACATTTCTGAATAACTGTAAAATAAAAGGAAGAAAACCCCCAGATGAATTAAAATCAAAGTAAAAGTGTATTTGCCAACTTTCACCTCTCTGACCTGTAGGTACCATGATGACACCCAACTACATCGGTAACAGCTCTGCAGATGTGTCACTGTGGTGCAACTGTGAGGGCAGTGGCAACCAGTGGCAGGAATGTCTGAGACTGCAGCGCATGTTCACCCACAACAGCTGCCTGCGTGAGTCTACAGTCTATTTGCATGTTTCCAATGTAGCTCTTTTTATATACTCTATTTGGTCAGTGCAGTAATTTATCTGAGCTGGACCAGATCCCATGTAGTAGTAGATGTGTTGGCTGCATAAAACGTCTTTCATACCAAGCTGGGTTACCTGGTCAAAGTGGACAACTGCCCCAGACCGCCAGTGGCTAACAAAGCCCTTGGTTCATAGTGCGTCAGTTTGATTTTAATAACTTGATTAATTGCTCATTTGTTTGGGACTGTGCACCATTATAGCACAATATCACAACAAAATTCCCTAAAGGTTCAGTGTGTAATATTTCTGAGGATATAGAAAGAAATGCGATATAAGATACATAACTATGTTTTATAACTTTGTTCTCAGTGGTGTATAAAGACCTTACATAATGAACCATTATGTTTTTATTACCTTAGAATGAGCCATTTTTTATCTACACAACCGCGGGTCCCCCTTAAATGGACGTCGCCATGTTGTTTCTACAGTAGCCCAAAACGGACAAACAGCGCTACAGAGTGCGGTTTGTCCTTCTTCTTGATCTTGTAGATGGTGGGTGAGAGCATGAGGCACAATATTTAAACTAAATGTAATAGTTTTTGGTTAGCTCAGTTGGTAAAGTGCAGGCCTGTCACCTAGAAGGTTGCATGTTCAATCCCATGTTGGAAGAATGGCATTTTTCCCCCTTTTCAACAATTTGATTATGAAGCAACTGTTTCACATGCTCACAATAAAGCATTTGCTGTAGTGTCAGTGTTTCAGTGTTTCATTCGCATCCCTCAACCCAGGGACGCCTTTTCATTTCCCCATTATCTCCAGGCAGAGGAAATTTAGGGGAATCACATTTTCTGATGGCTATTTCAGAGGTGTGTCAAGCAGGCTACAGACTCTTTTTAATGTCATTCAGAATTTTTCAAAGTAAAAGCTCTCAATTCTACTCAATGTAAAGCATTACTGCAAAAAACATTCTTGCACTTTTATTTTGCTATGAAAATGATTGATTGAGTGATTATGTGAGTAACTGTTGCATGTATGTATACAATCCTGGGGCCAGATAGTAATCCAGGACAGGAAAGTTGGTGGGTTACTGGGGCTCTGTAGGCAAAATTTAATTAAAAGCTATGTGTATAGACGGGTTTCTTGTATACACTACTGGATTCGCACGCAGCCAGGGGGCAAAAGCGCTCCGGTAGCCAGCCAGAAGACTGAAGTCAACCGCTGTAATCAATGTAGATTTCGCATATTAATATAACATGCTGTGTCATGTTTTTTCTATTTCCGCCTGTGACATTAAGAAATGTTATGTACTGTAAAAATCATACTCATTGCTGCTGTTATGAATACACAATTAGTTATAATTTTGGGAGGGACCTGCTTTGTTTTTTATTATTTTTAAATGGCCTATATCCATAGCCTATATGATCCAGCATCCTCTGGTCTGAGAGGCTGCAGTGACTCCTCAGGTTAATTATTGTTCCAGTAAAGTGGATTTCTAAAATGTGCTATTTACTTTTAATACCCAGCAATAAAGTAAAGTTAGTTTTGTGCAACCAATATTTCTATTAAGAAATATCCTAAGAAATATATGAATTATTATTATAATCTATAATTATTTCCTGTGGTTTTATGGAATATGTTACCATCCCATGATGCCCTGGATGTTGTTTCAGATTCTTTTTACCCCAAAGCACTTGAGTATTTCGAATTTTGAGGATTATTTGGAATGAAGTCACATTTAAACCAGAATTATGAAAATAGAATGCATATGTCACCATCAAAGATACTCTGAGACAAACAAATTAAAGGAAATACATGAAAAAATGTCTTTGACACAATATCTGCTGAATCTGTCTGGGTGGCTGGCTCTACCTATTTAATTGTTACAGCCTTAGCATTCATAAGAGTTTTACAGCCTGTATCTGCAGCATTAGGCTTCTGCAAGAATCAAGAGGTGTGCGGAGAGGAGCCCTAGGGTAAAGACCTCCAGGTGTCACTCAGGCACAGCAGCTGTCAATAAGGCTGTCGATACACACTGAGCCCGTATGTCCAAACACTAAAGCCTGGGTCGATGCGTCAATGCACTTCCCATAAAGCTCAGTGATTTATCAAGCTGCTGCCAGCTCAAACAATAAAGCTGCCAAATAGATATGTTCACACCCACTCACACACACACACACACAAACACACACACACACACACACACACACACAAAAGCAGTGATGGGACTGTGTCTCCATGCAGGCAACTCTATCAGTTGGATGGGGAGCCCCGGCTCCCTGCCTGCAGACATCACCCCCCATCCTGCTCCCAGACCTTCCCCGCTGGTTCAGGAGGATGAGCTGCTGAGCAACAACCACCTGCCTGAACACAACAACGTTGTGAGTACAATTCAGCTCATCACGCCTTCACATTTTAAATTACCTTTCAGACTTTTATCCCAAGGCATTTTTTATTATCTTTGGTTTGAGCCCATCTTTTCACTGTCACACGGCAGCCTATGTTGTTTATTTAATATATTTGTTTTATCTCCATTGCTGGGGCTTTTTTATCAGTTTATTATTTTTAGCGTTTACCTGCTTTTTTCTTGCAAGCTCAGAACTTTATATTCACTTGCTCCTTTTGGATTGTGACAAAACATAATGTGGAGTTTGTGTTTAAACATTTTCTTTACATATATACCAAATCTTTGAAATTTCAACACATGTGGATTCAATTTACCACAAGTAGCCTACCATATGTTCTCTGTCTGACCATTTTAACGTAGTTATGAAGAAAAGTTTTCAAAGCAAAAAACAACAACTTTGAACTAACCATAGAATAATTTTGAATATTTTAACAGTTTGTGAGGTGTAATGTTTTGGACTACTTGGACATAGATTTTGGTAGCAGTTTCAAAGTTGCTGTAGAATAAGAACGTTTCTTAACGTACAATTGCAAGGAATTTAGGGATTTCATCATCTAGGCTCCATAATATCATCAAAAGATTCAGAGAATCTGGAGAAATCTCTGCACGTATGCGGCAAGGCCGAAAACCAACATTGCATGCATGTGACCTTCGATCCCTCATGCGGCACGGCATTAAAAACCGACATCAATGTGTAAAGGATATTACCACATGGGCTCAGGAACACATCAGAAAACCATTGTCAGTTAACACAGTTCATCACTACAAGTGCAAGTTAAAACTCTAACATGCAAAGCGAAAGCCATATATCAACAACACCCAGAAACGCCGCCGGGTTCTCTGGGCCCGAGCTCCTTTGAGATGGACACAAAGTGTGCTGTGGTCTGACGAGTCCACATTTGAAATTGTTTTTGGAAATTATGGACGTCGTGTCCTCCGGGCCAAAGAGGAAAAGGACCATCCGGATTGTTATCAGCGCGAAGTACAAAAGCCAGCATCTGTGATGGTATGGGGGGGCGTTAGTGCCCATGGCATGGGTAACTTGCACATCTGTGAAGGCCCCATTAATGCTGAAAGGTACATACAGGTTTTGGAGCAACATATGCTGCCATCGAAGCAACGTCTTTTTCAGGGACGTCCCTGTTTATTTCAGCAAGACAATGCCAAGCCACATTCTGCACGTGTTACAAATGCGTGGCTTCAAAGTAAAAGAGTACCAGCCCGGCCTGCCTGCAGTCCAGACCTGTCTCCCATTGAAAATGTGTGGCTCATTATGAAGCACGAAATACGACAACGGAGACTGTTGAGCAACTGAAGTTGTATATCAAGCAAGATTGGAAAAGAATTCCACCTACAAAGCTTCAACAATTAGTGTCCTCAGTTCCCAAACGCTTACTGAGTGTTGTTAAAAGGAAAGGTGATGTAACAAAGTGGTAAACACGTACCCGTCTCAGCTGTTTTGGAACGTGTTGCAGGCATCAAATTCAAAGTGAGTGAATATTTGCAAAAAACAAAGTTTATCAGTTTGAACATTAAATATCTTGTCTTTGTGGTGTGTTCAATTGAACATAGGTTGAAAAGGATTTGCAAATCATTGTATTCTGTTTGTATTTAAGTTTTGCACAATGTCCCAACTTCATTGGAATTACGGTTGTAACTTAGACTGTTGTATAGCACTACCACCAGGAGAATTTATCCAATAAAGAAATACCAAATTCTTAGTTTAGCAAATGATAGCTTTCTAACATATTAATTAGCTCTAGAGTAGAGCTGAGGCTGACGGGGATGCCATGAGGTATTTGCGTTGGACACATTCAAATGTTGACCAGATGACAGATCACCAAAGTTCTTACAGTTCATCCTGAGGGGAACAGGAACTATACTAAATTTGCAGGTTTCTTCAATTGCTAACATGCATTGGTCAAAACTGAACTCACATTGTCAAAACTCTTATCACATACAGCGAACAGAAGTATGTGTGGCCCAAACTCTAAATCATTTTTCATTGCTTTCATACAAAATACGTTCAATGACCACTTTTTTCTAAAATCCATGAACTCTTTTCTCATCAATACTCCACCACCTGCAAAACACTATCTATATATTTGCAGCACATTTTTCAAATGCTAGCACCATGGGGCCAAAACAGTTACAGTTTTTTTTCAATTGCTAACCTGCATTGGTCAAAACTGAAGTCCCATTGTCAAAACTCTTCACACAGTCAGCGAAACAGTAGTGTATGTGAACCAAACTGTGAATCATTTTTCATTGCTTTCACACAAAATGCATTCAATGACCACTTTCTCCAAAATCCATGAACTCTTTTCTCATTACTACTTCACCACCTGCAAAACTCTGTATATCTGCAGCACATTTTTCAAATGCTAACACACTTTGTCCAAAACTGTTAAAAACACATTCAAAATTCAATTATTTTAAATATCCTGCAGACTGAAATATATAGAAAATCTTTTACATGCAGTGTATGCGTACATTTTATGTTTACATCTATCTTGGTTTTACTGTAAAACTGCAAGCTGAGTGTAAAGCAGGAAATGTGCTTGTATCATTCACAGGTTCTTATTGACATCATAACAGATATCTTCATCATTTACCGTAGCACACAAAAAAAAAAGTAATAGACATGTAGAAAAAATTATTTGCACGTAATTACATGTTCAACCATTTTGCATGTAGCGACTTATGCAATGAACTTATGACTAGATGTTTTGGGAGGTAAGGCTACTCAACAGAGAACCAGTAAACTGTAATACATTGTAATCAACATGACATACAGTAAGCAACTGATAATGTAGGAAACAGCAAACAATTGTACATAATCATTTGCATAAATGTGTCAAAGCATTTTCCATTTGCAATTTCAATCAATTTGAGAAATTGCTTTTACATATGATGTGCCCACGTGACTAGATGATGTGGAGGTTGAACAAGTAGAATTTCAATTCTGATCTGAGAAATGTACCAAAGTGTCTGAGAACAACTGTATTCTATATGAAATATTGATTTATACGAAAGACCTGTCACATTTTGAAGATTCAGATTCAGATTCACTTCATTTGCCATCTGCCATTTGCAGTATAAAACCACATTGGAAAAGAATATGCAAGAAGCTCAAAGTGCAATGTCACCACATAAAAAGACATAACATAAAACAGACAAGCAAATGCCACATAAAACTTTAATAAAACACTGTACAATAAAATCCATACATAAGATAAAAGTGCTTTGTTTAAAGTGATCACAGCTTGGGGAAAGAAACTGTTGAAATGGCGATCAGTAGAACAAGAGCTCTTGCTATGGTGCCCTGTCTCGGCGCCATCTTTTGCATAGGATGTCAGTGAGACTTGTTGCCAGAGTTTTGGTTGAACATTTTCATTTTGAGACTTGTATGAAGTGTTTTGGTGGTTTAAGTGAGTTTTGGAGGTGAGATTAACTGTTTGGTCAAGATGCATGCTGGTAATGCCTGACTGTATGAAGACTTTTGAAAAAGTGGCTTCAGTTTGATGCTTGTTGACAGTTGAAAAAAACTGTAATGGCAATCCATCCAGCAGTTGTTGAGACATTCAAATCCACAAATGTGAACCTCATGGTGGCGTTAGAGAATCACAAAAGTCAGTAGGATTGATTGTCTAGGGACAATGAGTGCTTGTACATCGCAGCTGTGGCTAAGGTGCATGTCTAAGTGTCCTTGGGCAAGATACGGAACCCCGAATTGCCCCGATGGCTGTTTCATCGGTGTATGAATGTGTGTAAATGTTTTTGTTTGAGCACTTAGGCTCAGTGGGTGAATGCGATGTAGACAAGAAAGGCGCTATACAAATACATTTAGAAAAATGTTATGCTAAGAGAACATTTAGAGGACATATCCAACAGCTGCTGAGTGATTCTGATGGGACCAACTGACTGACTAACCATCTGACCAACATTCCATTCCATTCCGAGCCATGTCATTAACATTGCAAAAAAATACAATCACAACATCTTTAAATGTTTAACAGTCCAAAACACAGAGATTAATTTTACAGTGATGTATAATAAAGAATGTGTCACTATCACTATTATCAAAAATGAAAAAGAAGAAATACCAGCAAAGATGCATAAAAGCAATACAAAATAAGACTAGAACTGCAAGCAGTTGTAAGCGGGGTAAGCCGCCCCCCTTGCCCCGGGCGCCCTGCCAGGGCTCGGGGACCCGCAGAGAATAAACGACCATAGTTGTAAATGAAGCGAACTTGCAATTACAGAGATATAAAATGAATGTATGTCTAGGGGAGTGTTAATTGATATTCGCTTAGTAATGCTGACTAGAGGCCGATTGACACCAAATTTCACACAGCCCGTCGGGAAGGTGGCTGATAATGCCCCCAGGTTTGCAATTGCAAACCTAAGATATGACATCACATCCTGTTTTGTGTGTTTTGTCAATTATTTGTTAGAGTATAATTAGGGCATTTTTTGGCGGATCAAAATTCCCTCTACAAGCTTTTATCGGCTTGGTCCAGAGATGGTCCGTGCCAAGTTTGGTGCGGATCGGACTTGCGGCTTCGGAGGAGTTAATTAAAATAGGTTTTTCAGTTTTCGTGATTTAGCGAAATGAAAACGTCATCGCACAGAGGCGTATCTTATACCATCCAAACCGGCAGAATCCCCCAAACATGTAGACATAAGGAATGTGCGATGTAGTGGTGCGTAGTTATGAGGCAAAATGTCCTTTGGTTCAAAATCCCATTGAAATGAATGGGATTTTCTGACGGTATTTGAGCTTCCATTATAGCACCACCTATAAGCCGAATTGCACCAAATTTTTCGTGTGTCATCAGGGGTGCATGGGGAACAATTGCAGCTTCGGGTGGAGTTAATTAAAATAGGTTTTTCAGTTTTTGCGATGTAGCTAAAAAAAGTCTAAACGGAAATGGGCGTGGCCTATACCATTAGATTCAGCTCGATCCCCCA